AGCAAGGGAATATTGGTCAACATCGCTTTAAACGATAAATTCTCGTTCATTTTACATGGTGTCAGATACACAATATAAGCTGACTCCATTGACAGGACCCGACATAATATGAAGATGCCAACTTTTTTTTGCTTTAACTTTCTTTGTGAATGCAAAACGAAACATCACGATTTTCGGCTCAATTTTTATGTGATATAAAAGTTTTGCTGATGTATCAGCTTATGAAAAAGCTGTAAAATGACATAATACCGTGTAAGGCAATAAGCAATTAGACTTATCATCTTGGTCGTGAATTTCTGCACTGCCACATCATCACCCTCGTTCATGTTAATTTACAAATTCTCTTATTTATTGCGCAGCATCAATAAACTGTAACTTTTTTTCGGCATCCGACGATGAAAAAGAATAGTATTATTATGATTATTCCACCAGATTCGCAAGCAAAACGCGTTTAAACGCTCTCGTCGCACTGCACACAACAAACACGTATTTTGTGGTGTGCGAAGAAACGCCTCGAACGAGACGATTGATAATGCGCGACTAGACAATTACTTAAGTGGACACAGAAAGGATCTTGTACGCTTGTAGCAGTAGCAGGAGGTAGAAAACAAAAGACCTAAACCAATATTGCGCGCATTTTCAACACCAACAGAAGCACTTATGAGTCAACAATCACTAACATGCCGCACCCCAACAACGGCAACGGCACTTGCAGTTATAAGGGATGTTGTAAAGAAGAAGAGGGTTCAGAATAGACAAGCAGAAGCCACAACCAACGGTAATGAAATGGGAGACAGAAACGGTGAAAACGGTGGAAACGGTGCTCAAGATGTAGAAAGTAAGATATTAAAAATGTCAAAAAAGGACCTTGATTTGATCACAAATAGTCGGTGAAGCGTGTGAGTGAAGAAGACGATAATCTTAAACTTAAATTGAAGGATATTACGGTCGAAGAAGCGGCGGGTATCCTATAAAAATCAAAGAGGTGTCTAATGAGGCCCTTAGTAACGATGCTAGACGGTAAATCGGCAACGCTTCAAGACCTCAACGACGAAAGCGTGCTTATTAGAGGTAAGCCGCAGTTGTTTTGAGACGCTGGAAACGTACTATTCCGTTTTGCCGGTGAAGTCCTTAGCACAGACTTAGGCGTAACCTGCCAGTGCCGGCGACGAAAGTGAAAGTTTAATAGACGACGATGAGCATAATTAATCTATCAGCAAGCTCGCTGCGGCACTAGACAAATTTACCAAGGCAAAAGAACCGCAGGAAAAGCTTATGAGCGTGCGCCTTGCTTCAGTGTCTGAATAATGTAGACTTATGCTCAGTTGCTGTAAAGTATGGTACAACATAGTCTATTCTTCAACTTTCGTTACTCTCGTACATTTAATCATTGGTTGTAATTACTCAGAGAAATGAAGCGTCGCGCACAATATACACGGCAAACGGAAAAGGTCGGTGGTTTGCCGTGATACTTCGTGCTTGGTCACAGCAATACCTCGGAACCGGTAAAATCCCTCAAAGAAAGCAAGGAAATCGCAACAAACCCGTCAGCTTGCATAAAGCCAAAGTTGTAAATGATGAAGTGCACTGCTACCTACGCATCAACAAGTTTTACGCTGAGCTAATCGACTTAGTCAAACATGTCAATTGAGATATCCTGCGAAGATTGATCTTGTTGCCTACATTCATTCAATACGGCCATGCGTTGGCTATAAGCCCTTTAATTATTACATATTGAAGTGAGAAAAGAATGCAAGTTGATGGACACAAACGCGCGGACTTGTTCGCACATCGGCATCAATTTTGTACAGCAAATAAAAGAATCCGAACTTTACATGTCAGAGTTTGAAATTCCTGCAATTGATGTTGTGGTGTGGCCAAAGCGTGAAGCAATTTTTTTATTCACGCACGATAAAAGCAAGTTTGATGTGAAGACGGAAAGAAAAAGTCGAGCTTTTGATAAAAAAAGCCGCTGCGAAAAAAGGGCGCAGAAAGATCCATACATGTTGGCGACTTTCTCACTGGCGTTGGCTCATTTTATGAGGTATTGCTTTACACATGTATAGTATATGAGTCTCTGCACTGATATCGCAACTTAAAGTGTATAAAGCCGCCTATCATTGAGCGAATAACAGCAAGCTGATCACCCTAACGTTGCGTAGGATGCTTGCATTGTTGTACATCCCGGAAAGTTTGATGGTCGGTGGACATATGATCGCCTCCATAAGCAATCCGGAACGTCGTCATTCCCATCTTCAACGCGCATTTTCCTGGTGTCAGGGCTGTTCTTGCCTCTGAAAATGTGACTAGCCATGCAGCCTATGCGGCTGATGCTCTATGAGCCTCATGCATGAGCCTTGTACAGGAGGGGTGCAGAAGCAGTGATGGATGGTATGCTTAGTGATATACAATTCAAACCATGGTCTATGTGCCAATATCATCTGGATAGGCAACTATAAGGAATCAAAGCTTTTCTTTTCCAAGAAAGAAATCTATGGACGAGGGATTTGTTTTGGGTCGCCGCAACAATTGCACCTCCACCGGCAGTTTCTGCGCCCGCAGTGTCATCTAAAATCGACCTAATTTTGAGAGCCAAAAAGGCTTTTGGAAGAGACTATCACTACGGCCGACCATCGTATCATTTTCAACCTATGTTTATTGCGAAGTGAACTATATTATTGTGCTCATGGTGAATTAAAACCCTATGCCCGGAAAAACTGCGGCTGCACGTTCAAAGTCCTCGAGCAGATAATCCTGATATTGTAGGCATCTGTCTCTCTCACTTCCGTCCGTCGCCATTCTCGGAGGTGCTTTTGGTACATCGACTAGTAATTTCGCAAGAACCTGACAAGAGAGGACACCGAATACGCCGTCAAGAAAATTGGTCGCACCGAAAGGTTCCTACTATAGTTTTGATGGATGTTAACGTTATAGCTGCCGCCTCTTATATTTGTAAAAAAAGCGGTCTGAATAAAAGAAAGTGAAAAAAGAAAAAAATAGAAACCAATGACATAGTGATTTTTGTGGCGGCCAAATGTGGCTCGCCACGAGCTCATTATTCTCAAAATTCTCCGAGCTTTAGAGTTTTACAACTAGGCAAAAAATGTGTCAAGTTTAAATCCAAGACTTCAAAAATGAAGCTAATCGTGTGCGCAAGGCATCTTAGTTTTAAATTTGTCAAAAAATAGTATGGGGGAGGAGTAGCTGTGTGATGGAGACCAAAAAATGTTTGAGTTATATATGGTGTGCACTATACGTCTTAGCTTTGATTGACTTCTAAAAGCTCAAGTGTCACCCACGTCATGTCGTGTCTCACCGACTTCCTTGCATACACCTTTTGGTAACCACCACGAACGCTGTTGACTCCCTTGCGTCGTACCACTCATCCACGTTCGTGACGTCAGCGTCGTCAAACTTCCGAACACCGTCCGTCGGGATGGCTTTCGAGCCCAACGAACTCATCACTAACGTTTGGTACTACGTAGACGAAGCGACCAGGACGCAAAAGCTCTCTGCTTCTTCCTGCTGCGGGCCCAGACCATCATGTCATCCGAGAGAGTCATCAGACCCACCGCAAGCTGAGGGCACTCGAGATGCTGATCTGGAGCTCTTCGACTTTGACTGCAACTTGACACACCAAGATCTCCGAAGCGATATCGAGTCTTTAATGCGCCAGGCTGCAACTGTTGGTGTCAACGAGATGCTGGTGCCTGGTGCATCAATCGAAGACTCTCAACGAGCTCTCGAACTGTGCAGGCAACACCCGACACAGCTCTTTCCAACAGCTGGAGTGCATCCGTACAACGCCCGGACAATGCCAACGGCTGAGGAGCTCGCAACGCTTCGAGATCTCCTCAAACTCGAACAAGTTCGTGCAGTCGGAGAGTGTGGCCTCGACTACTCGCCGAGTTTTCCAGAACGAAAATATCAGCGACGATGGTTCGCTGAGCAATTAGCGCTGGCCTGTGCGCTGAAGAAGCCACTGTTCTTGCATGAACGACAAGCGCATGACGACTTCATTGAGCTGATTGACGAAGCCACCAAGCATTGTGCCGGATACTTCCCGCCAGCAGTCGTGCACTGTTTCACGGGGAATGAGGAAGAACTAGACGCGTACATTGCCCGTGGCGACAACTGGTACATTGGCATCACAGGGTTCATTTGCAAGCCACAAGGAGCTGCGTTGAGAGAAAGGCTGAAGCACGTGCCGTTGAACCGCCTTGTTCTGGAGACAGATGCGCCGTACATGGGGTTCCCCAAATGTCGCCGTGCTGAGGTGTCCGGAAGAAAGAAACAGTATCCAAATGTGCCCAGCGCCATGCTGCTCGTGGCTCAAGCTGTTGCTTCTGCGCTCGGTCGGTCACCGCAGGAGGTTGCGAAACGAACGCGGGCGAATGCACGACGCTTTCTCTCGCTGCCGATGAGCTAGTGGAGAGAGCTCGACACCTTCGCAGGCATTCGTAGACTTCGTGGATGGACTTTCGTGTCAGGGCATGTGGCACGTGGCTGCAGCATGGAAGACGCGGACTCGCTCACCCAGTCCTCTATCTCCTTTTTATCTCATTCATAGCGTCAAGCCTCTGTATCAACTGTCTCTAGGGGGAGTGTTGTTAAAGGCAATAATGCTCGGCACGCGCGTGTCCGACCTCCGTGAGCTCCACTCTGCGACCGCGTTCTCCTCCTCGGCACTTTCGCACTCGCTGTCCGTGCTCAATATGCTGCTCGTCGACGTCGAGTGGGACGACGCCGCTCTCGGTTTCGTGCACTTGTGCACAGCCTCGAACGTATCGTCCCTCTCGATCAAGAACCGACTGATGGCGGCGGCAATGACTGCCACGCTGCGCTCGTCGTTCGTCACTGTAAAGTCCCAGGCAAAGCTCTCGTAAAAGTCGAGCGTCTTGTCCATCCACTCCCGTTTGTGTTCCTTCAGTCGCAGCCGCTCGGGCTCGAGCGCGACCCGCGCACAGATGCGACGCCATAGTAACTCGCGCTCGACTTGCACGTGGACCGTGTAGAACTGCACGTGCGCAAAGTCCTGCACTTCTTTCATCTGGGCCCGAATGACCGGCTCAAGCAAGCGGCCGTTGGCAGAGTAGAGCACGGCACTGAAGGGCGAGCGGTCGGCGATGAACACTTGCTTCCTACTTGGCTTGACGCGCGCAGCGAGACGCAAGACCCGTTCGAACCAGGAGCAGACCCACGACGTCTCCATGAGCAGGGACTGCGGGTGAAGCGCGTACGAGGGCATGTCCATGAACGCCTCGTCCAGGATGGCGTACCCCTGCGCTTCAAACTCGGCGCAGAGTGCACTTTTGCCGCAGCCTGAGGGGAACCGCGTGGGTCGAACGCGTCGGGACGGGAGTCAAAGGAGGAGAGAGAGAGAGCGAGAGAGAGAGAGAGCGAGAGAGGGAGAGACGTAAGGAGACGGGCATTGACCAGAGGCAACAGAGTGGAATCGAGCGGAACGGAGCGAGAAGAGAGGAGCGAATGCACGTACCGTGGCAGCCTTCGAGCGCGACGACGACGAGTTTCGGAGCCGACGTCATGTCTGTGGTGGGTGGTATAGCCGAATGCTGTGGGGCCATCTGGGGGCCAACGCAGCGCTGGATCGAGCGCAACTGACGACGGAAGGAGCACTCGCGCCAAAAATCTACTGCCCCGACATAGATCGCCTGTAGCCATTCACTTTGCTATGTGCGAACCCGCGACTCGGCCCACGCGACGCGCGCGAGCAGCAGCTGGTTCGTCTGCCGCTTTCGCGCCAAAAACGACGGTCTCCTGGAGCGATACAGTCAGTACGTGGAACGGCTTTCCATAGAACGCACCCATGTACCACACAGTCAGTGCCTTCTTGTTGGGTTCTGCTGTCTTTAGTGCCTTCTAGTTGGGTTCTGTCTTTAGTGCCTTCTAGTTGGGTTCTGCTGTCTTTCGTGCCTTTTGGGCTGCTGCAATGCGCACCAAAGCGTTTCAACCAGCACGTCATTCGTACCGCAAAGCTATTTGATAGCCGGTGGGGGTGGACCCGGTGACGGAAAGTTACACATTCCGTCCTTCGCACACAACAAGTGCGTGGGTGTCTGTCTGGGTGTCTCTCGCCAGGCTCGCAGTCGATTGACCCACAAACCGTCCTGCAGTAGGTAAAGAAGCCACGTTCAATAAGAGAGAGAGAGACAGAGAGTGTGTCTGGCATCACTGCGGGACATTCCCGCGCGCTAGAGACATGAAATTGCCCAATGACCGTGGCCGATTTTGCCGTGCATCTGTAGCCATCTATAGTGTACCCATGACAACGATTCGCCGTCCACGAACGCAAGTACCGGAGGACAGTCCGCCCCGCCATTGATGGTCTTCTGCGGCGCCAACTTCCACGTGTCGAAAGTCCCAGTGGCGCCCACCGCCGTGCGAACGAAAGCCGAATCAGCAGTTAATAATGCAGCCAGGAAAACGTCAAACATCCGCGACTTTGCCACTGAGCTGAAGCAGCGCCTGGAGCCGACGATGGGCGTCGGGTGGCATATCGTCGTGGGCGGCGACTTTGCGGTGGATCTTCGCTACGTACGTAGACGGACTGTCCAAACGTGGGAACGACATACATCGTAACGATGTTGTGGTGTACGCGACGGTGTGTTTCAATGATGCAGCGTGAAGGCGCATGCGTACTGCTGTTCAGCAAAGTCGGCAAGATGAAGGTGCTCCTGTACCGCACAGCACCGTCCGTCTCTCCTCGACCAGCCGCAGAGCACGAAGCTCTGGCACGAGAGCGTAGCGAACTCGTTGCTAAGACAAAGGTCGTGGTACTAGACAGCGATATGGAAGACGAGATGGCGAATGCAGTTATGCAACGGACCACGAGGCTTTACAGTCACTTTGTAGCGACGGGCGATAGCGAAAGCAAGATCGCTGAATCCCTCAAGGTACATTTGTAGAGTGCGACGTTCTATCAAGCGGATGCGGCGACGAGTGCGATACCACGTTACTGACCATGTGCAATGCTGCAGCACTCGCTGACGTTCACGTACGGTCCGACGTGGCAGGTGGTCGTAACTTCCTGTCGTGAGTTTTGCTGTCTGCATATCGCGGATAAGGGCTTGCACATTGACTTCACCGTGTCAAAGCTGCGTGTTGTCGTGTACCGTCACGCTGGCACGAGCTTGGACCGCCAGCTGGATTCGGCGCAGTTTGGCAAGCGTGTCGCGTTCGTTTTGGCCATGATATGTATGCTCCTGTACGTGTTTCTGTCCTTCGCTTCGTCCGAGACGACTACGAAATGTGAGTCACGCAGCGACGAAAACCGCGCAGTAGACGGGGTCGTCTTACCTGAAGGTTGCTCGTCCACGGACGTGACACGCGCGAACGACCACGCGTGGTGGAAGTTTGCTGCGATGCTGGGGATGGTGGCTTGTACGATGGTGGCGTCGCTGATTCGGATGTACGCCAAGTCGCTCAGTCCGAAGATCAAATGTGCATAGGAGCAAACAAACGGTGCTGTGGCTGAACGTGCATTGCCGCAGACGTGCTGAAGTCGACGCAATCGAGAGCAAAGGTTCGAGTGCAAATTTGTCCACCATAGAGAGCTAAAGCAAAGTATGCGAACATCACCCGATTTTTGCAGGCATTCTTGTCGACCGCTTGCCATCGCGTGACCAGCGCACGTGTCACAAGAACGCACATCGAGTCGTTTTGCATCTTGGGGAAGCAGAAGCACGAGCACAAGAACTCGTGTCCACAAAATCATGTGTGTCTGATGTCAGCGGTCGAGTTGCGCTCTTGACTGCGCTGTGGCGTCTAACGAGACGATGCCCGCAGTTTTGTCTGCCTTCTACGGCTTCACTGAGCTCGATCCTTTGCCACACTGCACCAGTGTACTGCGTCAAGAAGATACACGTAACAACTGACGTCGTCCTTATCAGACACTAATTTGTGCCTAGCGAGACATATCCGTACCGCAATAACATATTGCCAACTGCCTCGGGACCTGTTCGAGATCAGACCGGACTTTCTTCGTACTTCGTGAGCAGAAGCGTCCCGTATCCTGTGCTGCAGTACATTCGGTGCGGTCCAGGCGCTGTTGCGATAGAGCGTGGAACGAGGTCTCGGGAATGTGTAGGCTGACGAAGTCGAGACCCCGGGGCAGCATACGCTCGTGCTGCGGTGCAACTCACTGGCGGGCAACACGACGGTGGAGGCTGATGCAAATCCACGAAAAAGGGCAAGTGCGTCAACAAAAGCAGGCCAAGGTCCAGTTACGCGGGACGACGCCACGCTTCTATCTGTCACGTGGTACGGGACGTCAACTGAATCCGTCCACAGGAAGCGTGTCACCGACATCCCCACGTGGGATCGCACCTACTTATGAGCAACGAAGAGCGAGCACCGCAAACGAAGGCACGGGATGGCAAGTCGTGACAGCGCCTTATGGCAATGCTCCATTGCCTTAC